CACTGTATTCCAGCCTGGGAGACAGAGTGAGACTCCAACTCAAAAAAAAGAAGTTAAAACTGGAACCCATATAGAAACAAAATCTAACTGAGCAGAAGGGGTGTGACAATGAGCAAGGTATTGAATGCTACCCAGTCACCTCTGCGAAGGAAAGCTTGCAAAACAGCTTACAAATGTGTAATCTCAGAGCCTGTATTCCTTGGGGTCTTAAAAAAAAAAAAGCTTATTTTGGAATAATTTTGTATTTACAGGAAGTTGTAAAGAGTACAGAGTTTCATATACTCTTCACCCAATTCCTCTGTTAACATCTTATATAACTACGGTAGTACATTTGTCAAAACTAAGAGATTCACACTGGCTATTTCTATGAACTAACCTTTCTTTGAATTTCACCAGTTTCTCTAATGTTCTAACCTTGGATTGTTTTTTGTTTTTTTTTAATGTTTACAGCAAAGAGCCAATGGATCAGATAGGCAGTGTGGCTTTGGGGAAGAATACCAGATTCTAGTCCCAATTGCCACAGGCTAACAGTAGAACCACAGGGTTTATTTTCTGAGCTCTAATAGTACTTTCAGTCAGGCAACTGTAATCCTAGCTACTTGGGAGGCTGAGGTAGGTAGACTCTGCTTGAGCTTAAGAGTTTGATGCTGCAGTGAGCCATGATTATACCATTGTACTCCAGCCTGGGCAACAAAGCGAGACCCCATCTCTACAAACAAAAGTACTTGCACCTCACAAATGCTGTCTCTAGACATAATTCCAGTTTACCTTTCACCTCCCTACTTAAGCTCTGCTCTGACAGCCACTGGCCAGAGATAAAAAAGAAACATCTCTAACTTGGTGGTGACCCCAGCTGATGCTTCCCAGCTGGAGAATGGAAGTCCCTTTGGGATTTTCAGATCTCAATATTATTTGAAAATCCATGCATGTCTCAAATGGTTGGGGGATAGACAGTTTTTCTTCAGGAGTCTGAGAAGTACATATGTGGCAGCCATGATAGTTGCCCAGGAACATCCATTTCTGCCTTCCTTCTGGACACACGTCCTATTTCTCAGGCTCCCTTGCATTAAGGGGGAGCCCTGTGACTAGCTTCTGCCAATAGGTTATAAATGGAAGTGTGTGCCACATCTAGAGCTGGCCCATTAAGGTCTGCCACGCCATCCTCCAAGCTCTGCTCAAGTCACCAAAATGAATACCCCAAACAACCTTGGAAGCCATGTGGAAGTTGGCATCTGCCTGATCCCTACACAACTGCATAGAATATCCCCCTCCCACTTCCTCCACCTAAAACAACCTGGAGGTTACATGAGTGAGCAGGGAGAAAACAAACTTCTATGTGGAGTCTCCTTTAGCAGTCTAGCTTACCCTAACTAATGCAGGTACTACATGTCAAGTCCTTGAAAGCAAGGCCTTATTTCTGGAGCCGCACATGGGGCCTCAATCGCACAAAACTGAGTCGATCACAGGCCTGAGTTCATGGCACACCATCACTTCCACTCATGCAAAGCCTTCTTTTCTTTCCCTTTCCCTCCTTCATCCTCCATTCTAGTCCCATTCCATTCCCTCCCTTAACACCAGACGCCAGTCTAGTGTTAAGGTTTAATCCTCCTTAGAAAATCACGTTGCTGATTAGGTGTGGTGGCTCATGCTTGTAATCCCACTACTTTGGGAGGTGGAGGTGAGAGGACTGCCTGAATTCAGGGGTTCAAGACCAGCCTGGGCAACTTGGTGAGATCTCATCTCTACAACAAATCAAAAAATTAGCAGGGTATGTGGTGGCACGTGTCTGTAGTTCCAGCTACTTGGAAGGCTGAGGAGGAAGGATTGCCGGAGTCCAGCAGAACAAGGCTGCAGTAGCTGTCTGTGATCTTGCCACTGCACTCCAGCCTAAGCAACAGAGGGAGATTCTGATTCAAATAATAATAATAATAATAATGTTGCTTTGTGTGTTTAACTTACATAGCTGATTTTTACTATAAATCTCATTGTTCCTTAGTTTATTCACCTGGATTCTATCATGTTGCTAACTTCCTAACAGCTTGTATCTGTTTTTTTTTAAAAAAATTTCATATGCATATACCACATTTTACTTATTAAATCCTAGTGATGACATCTAAGTTGCTTCCAAATTCTTAACGTTTTAGCAGCTTAAAACAATAACAACTAACAGAACGAGAGAAGATATTTGCAAGCCGGGCTCGGTGGCTCAGCCTGTAACCCCGCCTTTGGGAGGCTGAGGTGAGTGGATTGCCTGAGCCCACAGGTTCGAGACCCGCATGGGCAGCAAGACCTCATTTCTACAAAAAATCAAAACATCAGCCTGGCATGGTAGCGCATGCCTGTAATTCCGGCTACTTGGAAGGCTGAGGCAGAAAGGATCGCCGGAGCCCAGCAGGTCGAGGCTGCGGTGGCCGGGAGCAGCCACTGCACTCCAGTC